ATTGTGAAAGTGTTCACACCGCAATTATCATCAATGATTAGGCCACTATCAAAAATCCTTGATATCATTACGCAAAAAGAGTCTAAATTAATCTGAAAATACTAGCATGTATCCAGCCACAAAGCAAGCCTTTGGCAAGCTAAATCATCCTGTGTCCTCCTTTAGAATAAAAGGAAGCTAAATCTTGGATCCACTTTTCCAACTGGCCCTCTGAATTCTTCCTGTGCTATGAGATTCCCAACAGAGGCCAGTTCTGCCATGGTATTCTTAAGAGTACCAAGGGATGCAATGTTTCCAGACCAATTAGATTACTACCAATTCTTAAATGTTCAGAATTGACTAGATCAAATGGATATGAACAGATTCTTTAATCCTGTAGTTAGCAACAATAATACAACTACAGCAATGACTAAAGACTGGTGAAGAAAAGCACTGGTAATGATACTAAAGGGAAAGAGAAAGAGGATACAGCAAACGATGGCTTTAGAAGTTCAGGAAGAGCAACATCACAAGAGGAACAAAGGTTTCTCACGCCATCTGAATCTACTTTGAGTCTATGGTCACAATGGAAACACTAACATGTGTAAGTTATTCATAAAATATTACTGAAAGCAACACATATATCCCACAGGCAAACCAACTACTAATTTAAAAAAATAAGGAATACAACTGATGTCATTAAAAGTTCCGTTTAACATTTTCCCAAAGACAATCATGCTAATTTGAGATATTTCCATCTAAATTAATGAAAGCTCCACAATGCAGAGGTGTTTAACAGCACTGGGTAAAGTGGCCATTCTAAATGGTATTATATGTTGAACTAAGAATGTATTAAACTTTAATTGAGATTTTAATACTTCTAAGAGACATGTTTTTATATATGTATATTTCTAATAACATGCCAAATCAGTGAAATGGTACTACAGTTAAGATAAAACCTTCATATAGGCACTAAAGAATGTTACTTTAATTCCTTCTTTAAAAGGATAGAGGCAAATATGTTCAGTTAAAATTTGTTTTTAAAAATTCTGAAACAATTAATTCCATAAGAAATAATGTAATATTTCAATTATTCGGCATTTTGTTGTTGCTGTTTCGCTTTCATAAGCTATTTCTCAGGGACCCTATCTGGATGAGATCGGTCACTCCCCATCGGGATCAATTCATCAACTCTAAATCTGGTAGGCAAAGAATTAAAAAAAAAAAAAAAGGTATTGTTTTAAGTTATTAAAGTACTGCTTTAGAACACAATCACCAAGCTCTCAGTCACCTATCCCTAATTTGCTTTAAATTTCAATCACTTTCAAAGTAAGTGCTCTAAATACATAAGTGCTGTATATGTCATTTAAAACCCTTACCATACAATGTTATGAATATTGGTTCCGTCTCATCAAAAACATTTGTACAATGAATTCTGAAAAGGTAATATCTAAAAAGGAAAAGAAAATATAAACCTGTATTCATTATGACAACGTGTCTGTTTATTTGGATGATTTGTATAGTTTTGAGCAATAATAGTTTATTTGAGCAAATAAACACAAGATAATTTAAAGGCAATTTATTCTTAGAGTACACTAAATCCCTAAAATAAAACACTTGAGAGGCAAACTGCAGTGAAAAAGAAAGTTTCATAGATTTTATTAGTAAAAGGCAAATTCTTATGGAGCCTCTAAAGGTAAGTACTAAAAATGCCAGTCTCGAGAGGAAAACAGAAAAGTGATTTTGGTTGTCATTTTGCAGAGCTACTAAGAATACTCACTGCTAAATCACAACTTTAATCAGAAGCCAAAGACACCAATTCTTCTCTCAGAAGGCTTTCAAAAATTTTCAATTTTCCAAATTCACGTGAGGTTTAGTTCTCTTATTACTGATGCTCTACTCCATCTCTACCCATTAACGCTGCCTAGAATATGACACCACACCACAGTATTTTGTAAATTCAGTCTATGGTTTTACTTCCTGAAGTGTACACTAATGCTAATAAATTAGGTTCTAGGCTTTGCATAACATTTACAAATAGAACCATAAAAGAAAGCACTATTCATACAATCTTAAGAATGGGAAACAACCCTATAGAGGCCATATAGTTCAAACAAATTTTCAATATTCTCTAACTTCATCACAGATTTTCAATTTACCTTTACCAAGATATGAGTGCTATTGACTGTATTTACTAAACTTATTAAAATAACAATTTAATTTGTATATTGTGTAGTTTTATGATTTAAACTTTAAGTGGAAATGTTTAACTTGTTAAAAATCAATATTCTGATGAAAGGAAAGTAAAAGAACATTAGAAATAATTCCAGGGTATTCTTCTAGCAAACTTATTTTAAAGCCCTATGGCACAACTCTTTTGTGTGATACACTGGATTTTTTTTGCAGTAAGAATCACCTTTTTCCCCCAATGCCTTAAATAAGTACAGACAAATTTAAGTCTTAAAAAGGATTGTAAATAGCTTATTAAAATAAAATTTCATCTGAGCAATTTTCTTAATGTGATCTACACAGTATAAAATATTAGCAGTCAGTAAATACTAAATTTTCTGAATTGCTTGCCTTTTTACCAATTACTTTTTGACGGAGCATTAGCCAATTACGTATTAACCAAATTTTTCTACTAGAGAAACCCAGAACCACTCTTACATCTTCTACAAACCTAAATATTTCTGCTCCTTCCCTTCCTGCATGAGGCATTAAATCTCCAAATTACAGTCTTATCAACTTTCTTAATAATCACTATTCTTCACTATTATGTTACTTGCCACATTTTTATTTGGAGAATAAATACTATTCAAGCATAAAGTTGTCTGGCCTATCTTCTCACTCAAACTATATTATGCTCCTAATGCTGATTATTTTATAATCACTTTATCCCAGTTACCCAATTGGTAGGTTTGATGTATCAAGTTCCATTTAATAGGGCTTGATATGCTTCAGGGTAAAGTTAAACATGCTGATCATTATGTTCTATACTCTACATCCTCTAAAGCCTTTAAAGTTTACCAACATCCTTCTTCTCTCTAGAATAGTAAATATCCTATCATAGAACCCAGAGAAACTGCTTGGCTTTAAAGAATACAGTTTCTGAGCACTTGTCAGAGAAGCTGTTCGTAACTTCCAGACGCCCGCTGGACTATCACTTTGGTTAAATTAATCATGGGTCATCTTGTGCCTCTTTAAACTTTTTAGTCTTACAATTATTGTAGGAAACCTACAGATCTACTTTAAAACTAAGTGAAATACAAAAAAAAAAAAAAAATCATTATTTTAGCTCCATTACTTTTCCCAAAGAAATCATTTCAGGGTCCTTATATCATAACTTTTACTTAAACCACAACCCATGAGTTGTACATAACACCGGAAGGCTTTAAAAATGATACAATTCTGCACTTAACCTTACAAAGCACGTTTCCAAGTTCTCAATTACGAGAACGTTCTACAAAAAAGAAAAAAAAAAAAAAAGGTGCTGGTGCAGTCTATCAGAACTGTGTTGCCAGCTGCAAGCCCCGAGTATGCTGCACTTTGCAAATTTTAGGTATAATTTCTGGTTACCTGCTGCGGTTTCTGCACCCTTTGTCACCCAGTGATGCTCCCACCAGCAAACACTTTCCATCACTTAAAACGGCCTCCTTCCACCCCGCAAAAAAATGCACAGTAAACTTAGGCATTTCTGCATACAAACACGGAACTACTAATATCACTAGGTATTATGGCTCTCAAAGAATCGTCTTTAGCAGCCTCCCCTGGGACGTTGTGCTCAGCGGGGCTTTGAACCGGTGAGACTCGCTGCCAGCTGCCTTTGCAAAGGCAGCACCAGAGGTAGACTCAATACCGCAATGCTGCTGCTGACTTTTTTCCAGCAGCTTCAAAAAAAAAAAAAAATCAGCCCAGTCCCCTGCAGACCCTGCTGGCTCTTCTGCAGCACGAAAGAGAAACCACCGCATTGCTCAGCTTGGAATATCTGAGAGCCCGACTGAAAGGAGGGGAACCAGTGCCGTCGAGAGGCTCGGCGAGGGTGGGGTGTTGGGGTGAAAAGGGAAGATGTCCGGAGTGCAGGGAACCGCGACGGAACAGCAGCCAGGGCTCCGCATCACGCCCGGCCGAGGTCGTGGAATAGCGGACGTCCGGAGGAGATGCTGGCCTCTGCACGGGATGGGGGGGTCTCACCGCGGCCGGCTGAGCCCCGCCCGCCGCCCCCCGGCCCCTCACCTGTCGTGAGCGCTGGGCTATCGCCTGCCGCCGCGGCGGGAGAAGAGGCGGCAGTTGTGGAAGAGCCTGTCGCCCGCCGCCCGCGGAGGTGCCGGGGTACAAGCTCGCATCCGTCTGCCGCTCCGGCTACCAGCAGCCCGAGCACCAGCAACGCAGCCCAGCGCCGCCGCCGCAGCCAGCCCCAGGCTGGGCCGGGAGTCGAGGCGGGATGAGGGCGCCGAGGAGGAGCCGGGTGAAAGCGCAGCTGCGCCCCGGCTGCACGCCTCTCGCCCGCTCCTCGAAGCGCCGCCACCGCCGCCGGCGACTCCTCCGGCCGCCCCCGCCGCCTCAGTCGCGGAATCCCGCCGGGCACCAGCCTGGTCCCGTCGGCACCGGCGGCCTCCGGAGCTCTGATCCCGGCTGCGTTCATTGGTTCCGGTTATTTAAAAAAAAAAAAAAAAGTGGGGGGTAGAAAGGTACGGCGTCTTCAGGCGGTGCACGACACCCGCGCTGCTGCTGCGGCGAGACCGGGATCCGCTGCTCTGGCGCCGCCAAACACCAGCCCCAGCGCCCGCGCCGCCGCCGCCGCCACCGCCGCCGCCGCCGCGGCGCATCCCCCCGCCCCCTCCGGCCGGCGCTGGTCGTAGTACCACGCTCCGCCGGGACGCCTCCCTCCCCTCGCACATTCGCTCGCATACCAATCCCCCGCCTCCCTCAGGCCCTCCACGGCGCAGGCGCTGCGCGGCTGTACAGCGCGTGCGCGGCACCCCAGCCCCGCCCCGGAGGCGTTCCCGGACCAACGGTAGTACGGCGGGGCGGTTACTAACGCTTTAGCAAGCCGCGAAGATAGGGGGCGGGGAAGGAGGACGTGTACCCCTCCCTCATTCACTGCACCACCGCGAGGGAGAGTGGGGGGCTACAAGGGGGCGGAGAGAAGAGTCCAGACGTCCCACATCCTGAGGGCGAGTTACGGCCTCGTGGAGGGCAGCAAAAGTAATTGCATGGGTCAGGAAAATCTCGATGTCGGAAAACGGTAGCGTCCCCGTAATTTCAGTATAGGTGGGGCTTACAAGTGGCTGGCTATTTAGACGCGGTTAGCAAATAGGTTAGCGCTTTATTTACTTGCCAAACATTTCACAAAGCGCGTGCTATGTGTGAGTGTACCAGGCATTGTTCTAACTGCTTTGCACATTTACATGCTATAACTCCAAAATTATCGTTATCTCCATTTTACGAATGAGGAGACGAAGGCCCAGAAATTTGAACTAAGTTGTCCCCAGTGTCCCACAGCTAATTCATGGGAAATGAGCCAGATTTAGCAGCCACTGAAAGGGCCTATTTAAGAGAATTTACTCTAGCTTCTGACTCTCCTAGGTACAGATATTTACGTGAACTCATTACCTTCCCACCCCCATCCCATCCCATCGACTCTGTGCCGTATCCTGAACCGGCTGACAGAACAATGGTGCAGACTTGACTTGTGTTCGCCAACCTGGAATGAAGCAAAGTTCTTGGGCACCCAAGGTCTGCTCTCTGTTGTAAATCCTGTTCAGACCTGGTCTAATTGGTTTGGATAAAGAAAGAACCGGAATCTTTCTCATCCAAACCAGTTGCCAGCATATTTTTAAGGCCACCTCCCTTCAAATTTAAAAGGAAGTGTTGAATGTAATGTCACTATAAATTAAAAGCTCTGGAAATTCACACACAAGGAGGCATTCTCTCTCCCGGAGCACAAAATTGTTTAAAATTTGCAGATAGGGTTATTAAACACGAAGATCCTTTTGCTATTGGGTTCTGTTGGTTTGATTCTGTTTATTGGTTTGTTTGTTTGCTTTCTCAAGCCAAGAAGATACTCAAATTACATTCTCCTAAAGTATTTCTTAGGCAGCCTGGCCAAGATAACCACAAATACCGTTTATTGTAGAGGGGCAGATGCACGCTTTAGAAAAGAATCCAGGATGTCTTTGAGGCTAAGTCAATCTATCAACAATTATTTCTCAGCAGACTTCTTGTGGGCATAGTGTTCAGGTGGCAATTCTTTTTTTTTTTTTTTTTTTTTTTTTTTTTTTTTTGAGACGGAGTCATGCTCTGTCGCCCAGGCTGGAGTGCAGTGGCCGGATCTCAGCTCACTGCAAGCTCCGCCTCCCGGGTTCACGCCATTCTCCTGCCTCAGCCTCCCAAGTAGCTGGGACTACAGGCGCCCGCCACTTCGCCCGGCTAGTTTTTTGTAGTTTTTTTTAGTAGAGACGGGGTTTCACCGCGTTAGCCAGGATGGTCTCGATCTCCTGACCTCGTGATCCGCCCGTCTCGGCCTCCCAAAGTGCTGGGATTACAGGCTTGAGCCACCGCGCCCGGCCGGTGGCAATTCTTTATAGGGCAAAACAAGGAGATTATCTTTCCCCTGATGAAAGGCACAGCGATGAAGTCACACCGGAGTGCTGAGTGCCCACCAGAGAAGATAAGTCTGCTAGGGGACCAGAACAATATAAATAACAAGCTTGTTCCTGCTCTCCAGGAGGACTCATTTCATTTATTAAATGTTTACTGAGTACCTAGTATGCCAGGCAGGGTACTCAGTGGTGAGGGTTCAGCAAGAGAAACACTTGAAAAAGGCAATTAAGTCAGCAGTCAGGGCTATGAGATAAACAGCACAGTCCCATGACTAAGGCATCTTACAATCTTTTTAAGGAGATAAAATTTACACCCATTCAACAATTAGAGGCTAATACAAGGTAGTAATCAGTTGCTAAATGGTGTAGTGCAAACTGTGTTATAGCAATAACAGTATAAAAACACAACAAATTAACAAATCACAGGGGCCAGGCTTCTTTAAACAAAGATGATTTCGTATTTTTTTTCTTCTTTTAAAGATAGTGAGGGTGTTGACATTGAGAGTGTGTTGGATTGGAGTTAGAAGTGTTTATTCCTCTCACTACTGGAACCAGAAAGGAACTAAGGATCCGGCAAGCACTAAAAAGACCAAGGTCAGGCAGGCCAGGGGCCAGGAATAAACCCTCCACCGCAGATCATCTTTGCCACAGGTATATAAGTTTCCAGCTGTTAAATGACTAGCCGGAATGCACCTTGCTAAACAGAGGTACGTGTCACTGTGCATCATAGCATAAACCCTAAGAACAGAAAGGAGAAAATTCATTTCTTTGAAAGAAAACCCCAACCCTAGAATTATAGATGCTTCTATTTGCAAGCCAAACACAAACACAAGACTCCAAATGAGGCAATCGCTTTCTCCCCATGTTTCCTTTCCCACCTCCACGCTTTTGTTTTCCCTTTCCTTCCCCTTGTTCTCACCACCGGAAAGCTTTCTCTCCTTCCCTGTCGCCAAATCCCATTCAAAATCTACCCTGAGTTCCTTTTCCTTGGCACCTACCCGACTCCTACAGCCAGCCTATACCTCTCAATGTCCAAACCTCATGATATGCTTTTTTTTTTTTTAACAGAACGTCTTCACTGTCCCATTTTCCCCAAATCATGACTTCAAACACCTGATGGGCAGCACTGAGCTCTGGAATCAGGCAAACCTGAAAAAAAAAGCAATTCCACCACTTTTCAGCTTTGTTACGTGCAGACCGGTTAATCTGTCCTCAGTTTCCCCACTTTTAAATTGGGGATCCAACCATGCCCGCCCCACAAGGTTGTTAGCGGCGGCGGGAGAATAAAAGAACAAGGAAAGCCCTTGCGCGGAGCCCGACACACAGGTGCGTTGCCATCCCTCGGGGAGAACTGGTTCTGGGCGTGCATTCTAAGCGTGTTCTTGGCTTAGGACAAACGCATCGCACTTTCTATGCCAATGTTGTTTGATTGCATCTTCTTGCAAATCCCAAACTACTGGGACGCGCCCTGCACAGACGCACAGCAGGATCCCTGCACTGCCTCCTCCCCATCCCAGAGGCAAGCCTGCCCTTCCCAAGAGTCGGACTCCCTAGCTCCCTCTTCTTCCCTCGCTCCCTCACAGCCCACAGCACGCCGCCAGCTCCGACTAGGAGAACCGGTTCCCGACCGGCGAGCGCGGCAGGGCGCCTGCGCCACCGCAGCCCTGCGCATGCCCACTGCCTCCCGCCGGCTTCCCCCAGGTGCGCGAGTTCTCAGGCTCGTGGGTTCCGGGACGCCGCGCGCCGCTGCATGCCCGGCTTCCGGCTCCCACTATCTGGGCGGGGCGGCCGGCTGCCGCGAGATGACGTCACCGCGTGGGCGGGCGCGGCGGACTGTGAGTGGAGAGGGCGGTGGGCGTGGGGCGGGAGTAGGGGTGGAGGCGCAGAAGTGGGGAATTCCGGTGCCTGGCCCTCCCACTGATCGTCTCTTTCCCGCCTTAGACTTCCTCGCGTGGCCCTGGAATGTTGGGACTGACCCAGCAGGGTGGTCCAGTCTGTTTCGATTGCTCTTGATGGTGAAGCCCCTCGGAGAGCTGCCTTTGGTGGAAACCCTGTTAGGTACCAAGTTTTCCCACTGACCGTCCACGGACGCTAACAAGAGACTCGAGGTGCTGAGAACTTTGGAAACACCTCTCAAGTGATATAGACAATGTGATGGCTCCATTCCATCAATGAAGCCCTAGCATAAAAATGGGGTCCTCACATTGTTTGATAAAGCGCTAGGAATAGAAGTGACACTGTGAAAGTAACTTATTAGCAAGACCCTTGCTCCCTAAACCCAATAAAGCATGAGGTAGTCCTCAAGTGGTGTAGTGATGGTGGAAAAATTTATTGCTGCTTTCTCTGGGAGCAGAAGAAGGAAGTCTTTGTAAATGTCTTGCATCCAGGGTAGGAATTCAAAAACTGTAGATTTAACTTAGCTAACATAGTTTTTTAAAAGTCACTCAACAGAAGCAAGTCAACTTTGCCCGCTAAAGCCCAGTGCAGTCAGAGGGCATGTGGGGTGAGTCGTTTATATTATTAAATAGGGTATGTTTGCTCTATACTGCTTAATTTGAGGTGTTACATGAATATTATTGATCACATGATAACTGACAGGTGCTAAAGCAGTAGGAATGTTGACATTTTCCATAAAAAGAGGACTAGAATTGTGATGGAGCTAAAGTAAAGATCATCACAATTGAAAATGGTGAGAAAATGATGGTTATCAAAAAGATGAATAAGTGTTGATCAGGATGTGGAGAAAAGGAAACCCTGGTATACTGTTAGTGGAAATGTAAATTAGGATACCCATTTTGGAAAGTGGTATGGAGGTTTCTAAAAAACTAGGAATAGAATTATCCTATGATCCAGCAACCCCACTTCTGAGTATATATCCAAAGGAATTGAAATCAATATGTCAATGAGATATCTGCACTACCATGTTCATTTCAGCATTATTTACAATAGCCAAGATATGGAAGCAACCCAAATGTCCATCAACAGATGAATGGATAAGGAAAATAGGGTATATACACACAGTGGAATAGTATAGAGCCTTAAAAAAGAAGGAAATTCTTCATTCACTGCAACATAGATGGAACCGGAGGACATTGTGCTAAGTGAAATAAGCCAGGCACAGAACGACAAATACTGTATGACCCCACATGTGTGGAATCTAAAAACAAAGTTCATCTCATAGAAACAGTATAAAGATGATTACCAGAGGCTGGTAAATGGGAATCGGGGGAGGGACTGGGGAAAGGGAAGATGCTGACCAAAAGGTACAAGGTTACTGTTGGACTGGAGGACTATGTTTTAGTGACCTATTGTACTTCACAGTAACCACAGTTAACAATATCTATTTCAAAATTGCTAAAAAGATAGATTTTTAACATTCTCACTACAAAAAAGGTTAAGTCGGTGAGATAATAGATATGTTAGCTCAGTTGAATTGTTCTACAGTGTACATACAGCTCAAAACATTGTACCCCATAAATATACACGATTAATATTTGTCAATTAAAAATTCATTTTAAAAATACAGTGTCTGTGAGTTGTGAGGCAGGAAGCTGCCAGTGGGTTCCCTACAGCACTTTAAGAGATTATCTAAAAAAGAATTACCTACTTTCAATCTTAAAGTATACAAAACACCTACTTTAGAAAAAGATGCAACGCAACAAATATCAGCAAGGAGAAGAAAAGTGGGCCTGTTTAAAAGCTTCAAAGGGCTGCCTACCTCCCTCTGCTTTTGTGGAAAATCCATCCAGGGACTGGAAATTTAAACTCCTTAAGTTTGAATGTATTAAAAAAAAATGGCCATAAGTACAGCCATCTGAAGCCTAAACCCTTCATAAGGTGAAGAACTCCTGTATTTTTGTTCCAGTAAAACCAGGTCCTTATGCTAATACCTAGATAGAGGGTTGTTGTAAAGTAAAAATGATTGTAAAGGTGCCTGGTGCATAGTTAGCTATTATTATTTAAACCCTTAAGGGTATGAAAAACGAGAGTTCATTTTGAGTTGAATTTTGCAAAAAAGGAAAGTAGAAAAAAAGGACACTTGAACAATCTACAAGAGCACATACAACAAAGGTACACACACAGAAATCTTTACAGGGCCAATCTTTAGGCACTTTACATGCCTAAAGTGACATTCGAAGGTTCTCCAGAAAACAGACCTGATGCAAAGGCTCATATAACAATTCCTTAGGGAGTAGGATTTCCTTCAACAATTCCTTCAACCCCGGGGAAGCAAAAGTGAGGAGAAGACATGAGCCACGCACAGAAGGAGGCAGAAAAATATCAAGGCGATACACCACTGAGCTGGCTGCTCAGTCTCTCACGATGTCTCCATAGTGGAGACCACTCTGTTTTGGAACAGTGTGAGAAGAAGGGAGAAAAATGGAACTTTTGGCTCCCATCAGTCAAAGGTTTCTGCAGGAGGTGCAAACTCCCCCGCACTTTTCAGTCATGCCACCTGCCGCTCCAGGCAGCTGCCAGAGAAGCCAGATCCCTGAACAGCAGTGGCATTATACATGCATGAGCTGAGCCAGCAAGTGAATGGGTGCCAGGAGCACTCCCCACTGTCCACCTGCAGCCTGCAGTTTCCCAGGAGCGTCTACCACCTCTGTAACAAAAGGGAAGCCCCAGGGGGGAAAAAAAAAAGGCTGGAGATTCAAGGCATTAACCAGGCATTATTAAAGTTGTGCCCAAAGGCAGCATGAGAGACCTGGAGCAAGGGGACCATCACATCTTGGCCCCTACCACCGAGGCACCCACAGAGCTCAACAAGCCACACTCCAAGAAAGATTGAAACATCCCTTCTGCAACCTGTAAGGATGCTGTTACGGTGTAAAGTTCCTGGATAGTAATAGTAGCATTCAACATCAAACTATTACCAGGTAAATCCAGGGAGGCACGTAAGCTGGGTTCAACTTTATGATAATGGCAAAGACATAGGAGAACCAAGGCATTGTGAACTAAGAAAAGCCCTTTGTGTTTATACATCAAATATTGAATGCATTTTAGGGTCAGGTGCTATATTAGGTGCTAAGATCAAAAATGAGTAAGATAATTTCTAGTCCAGAATCCAAGGACCTCACAGGCATACAATAGCACCAAAAAGATAGATATTTCTTTTATTTATTTATGCTTTGTTAATTGTTTAAAAGTATCTGTCACCATGAAATGCTGGTTCCACAGTCTCTGGTATATAGTTAAATCATTTTAAGAAAATAGTTTATTTCAAGATATTCTACCTCAAAATTTAATGTCAAGTAAGTTTGTAAATGATCCCATATTTCACATAATGTAGTTGCCAGGAACTGGTAAAATCAGGCATTTGTCTTCATGTGTTTATATTTACACAAAGGTGTTTCAGAATGTGTTTTCAATGAGGAAGAATAATAATTGAAAGAGAGTTTGAGGACAAGCCTTCTGACATGGAAACGAAGGAAAACAGGAAGTCTGGAAATGTGGAGGTTTCAATTACAGAGGAGCACATTCCCAGAGCGTTATTGTAAATACGAAAGAAGATCAGATTTTAAAAGTTGTTTCTTGGCCAGGCGTGCTGGCGCACACCTGTAATCCCAGCACTTTGGGAGGCTGAGGCAGGTGGATCATGAGGTCAGGAGGTCAAGACTATCCCAGCTAATACAGTGAAAACCCGTCTCTACTAAAAATACAAAAAATTAGCTGGGCGTGGTGGTGGGCACCTGTCGTCCCAGCTACTCGGGAGACTGAGGCAGGAGAATGGTGTGAACCTGGGAGGCAGAGGTTGCAGTGAGCTGAGATCCCGCCACTGCACTCCAGCCTAGGTGATAGAGCGAGACTCCATCTCAAAAAAAAAAAAAAAAAAAAAACCAGTGCGGGGAGTGGAATTCTTGGTAAATTCTGAAGGTAGAATCAACAGGATTGATATTTATTTATTTATTTATTTATTTACTTAAGACAGGGTCTCGCCCCGTCACCGAGGCTGGAGTACAGTGGCACAATCATGGCTCACTGCAGCCTTGACTTCTCGGGCTCAATCGATCCTTCCCATGTTAGCCTCCTGAGTAGCTGAGACCACAGGCTTGTGCCACCACAACCAGCTAATTTTCGCTTTTTTTTTGTAGAGATAGGAGTCTCGTCATGTTGCCTAGGCTGGTATCCAACTCCTGGGATCAAGTAATCCTCCCGCCTCCATCTCCCAAAGTGCTGGAATTATAGGTGTGAGCCACTGCACCCAGCCTCAGTGGGATTTATAGACCAACTGAATACATCGTGTGAGAGGAGAAAGTCAAGGATAACACTGAAATGTTTACTTTAAGCAACTGGAAGAATGGAGTTGCCATCAACCAAAATGTGGAAGACTGAGAAGAGCAAGTGATGGCAGAAGGACAGCAGAAACTCAGTTTTGCATATGTTCACTTTGAGATACCTAATAGGCATCCAGGTGGAAATGTCAGTGAGTACTTGGACATAGAGGCCAGGAATTCAGAGGAAAAGCCCAAGCTGGAGATTTAGATTTAGGAGTCACCAGCACATAGACAATATTGAAAGCAATTAGATTGTTTACAGTTTCCCCAGACATACCCTTTCTGTCTCATCCTCCATGCACTAATAAAAGAACTTGATAGCTGAGCATGGTGGTGCGCGCCTGTAGTCCCAGCTATCAGGAGGCTGAGGCAGGAGAATCATTTGAACTTGGGAGATGGAGGTTGTGGCAAGCCAAGATCGTACCATTGCACTCCAGCCTGGGCAACAGAGTGATACTCTGTCTCAGAAAAAAAAAACAAAAACTTATACTTCTCACAGCAAGGTACACATTTATAGACATCACTACTCATAGAAATACTGTAGTACAAAATAAGCATTTAAATAGCAAATACGGTTTAGTTTAATAGCCGAAAAGTAAGTTTATGAAAGGGAATTCAGTAGCTTGAGTTTACATCTTTTGCACCTGAAGTTTGAGTGTTAAGGAGATCATTTCTTAGTAAAAGAAAACGTATTTGGAACCATTCAACCCTGGGATCAGTCCACTCTCTTTGCTATTAAGAAAGCAATTACATGTCTGCATTAGTTTGCTAGGCTTGTGTATTAGAATTCTCCAGAGACAGAACCAATGGGATGGATGGATAGATGGATGTATAAGAGGGTATTTATTAGGGGAATTGGCTCATGCCATTATGGAGGCTGAGAAATCCCATGACAGGCCCTCCACAATCTGAAGACCCAGGAAAGCTGGTAGCATGGCTCAGTCCACATCTGAAAGCCTCAGAACCAGAGAAGTCAATGGTGTAACTCAATCTGAGGCTGAAGGCCTGTGAACCTGAGGGATTGGGGGGTGCTA